GACAGTGGTTGGCGACCAAACTCTCTTAAGATCTCGCACAAGCTACTCAGTGGGATAAAATCCGGACCAAACAAGTTACATTGCATCATTGACGATCTGACCTCGAACTACCACCAAAGGATGAACGGAGATCCTCTCGAGAAAAGAAACACGCTTTGAAAGACTGCTGAGACTAAACTCACCCTGATTGTACATACAACACATTGCTAATGATGCAGATAAAATGGTCGGCTCCCTGTACCGTTCCAGTAATTACCTGACTCTATATCCTCTAAATTTACAAGGGCCAAATCAGACCAAAAATGGAGTACTGTTTTTATATTTGGACGGTAGCTACCCAGAGCTCAATTCCAAGATATCATAGCATTCAAAAGCGTCTCCAAACCCTTGTGGGTGACGAATTATTCTCCACCTTTCAACCAATCTCTAATATGTGGAATGTGACAAGCCTACACTACCGCTAATTCCACGGAAAGTGTTCAGACGATCTACATTCTGTGATGTCACTGAGGCAGCCCATTTCTGAATACGCCATACCACATAGATAGTAGCCAACCATACAAATACTCTCCGTATTCCACCGGTAAGAAATAGGTTCCACTCGAGCAGTTTTTTTTTCCAGCGAACCACTGCCCCGTGCAACCGACTCCCAACTAGGTGTTTCTCCGATCACTACTATCTTAACGGATAGCGCTAGCCTTGAACAGGCTATCTTCCACTCCTATACACACAAATCGACTCCACGCGTAACCCTCTATATCAAGTGGCCCAGGGCCCTCAAAAGATTGAACCTAGGTCTTTATATTCTGTTACATTCTTTTTATACCTAGTGAATAGATATCTGTAGATACAAAGTGACAGCGAAACGATTACAATTCACGACGCCTTTTCGAAACCAATACTACCACAATGGAGATAGCCTCTTTCTTTTTATCAAATTTGAAATTCCTCCAATTCTGTCTCTATTTGAGACTTTTCACAGTAATTCATATATTAAAGGAATTCATTTGTGGTTATAGCGTTTGTTTTTGCAATTTAAAAAAAACATTTTTGTGTTCTTTTTATGACGTTCTTTTGTCTGCTAGCCCAGACTCGTCTTTGATCTGGCAGACTTATATTTCCTTGTTAACAGGAAACAAATACGGATTTCTTGTTTGTATAATCATGTCAGTTTGAATCTAAAAGTTCCTACAATATTTTATTTATTTATTTTAAGAACGATTACTTATATATGACCTCTTTGTATGGCTTTGCAGTTAGTTAAACTCTATTTATTGAAATATAATAAATTACATCATATAGCATCTGACATAGTTCACCATGATTTTCAGAGTTCGGCAAAAAATGTATATATGTTTCCAGAAAGTATTTTCTTGGCATATGCCTATAGCATCAACAAGTTCTAAAATATATAAGTATCTCAAAAAACTGACTACACTGAAGGCTCATAGACAAGAAATTGAAAATGCATGTCTAAGCCGTAGTTCGTTGTACTAATAAATGTCTGGAAGCTAAAGGCCACCATTTTTGAGCATCTCTTTTGAATGCAGAGTAGAAAGTAACTTGTAGTAATCTCGAGATGCCTTACTAAATTTAGTATTACTATATCGATACAAACTTTTCATTTCCTGAAGTTTGTATATATATATTTGGTGGATTTTGTATTTATGACCGTTCCTAAATTTAAACATTTCGAGAAAATAACGACATTTTTTTTGTTTTTGTTTTTGTTTTAGTTTTTTAAATACTTGCTGCAAAATAAAATTCTATTTACCTTGATAAAATCCATCAAAGGACGAAACGCGTTGTTAAAAAAAGTTTTTTGTTTTTCTTTATTTATTTTGTCTTATTTTCCAGATACATATTTAGTCATATCTGAATGTTTACATATATATTTTAGCTTACGCTCTCATATATTTCTCTACAGAATGATGTTCCTGAACTGTTACGATTTTATTCTGGATGGCCTATAGTGAAGTTGTAAGCTGTGCTTTGTGTTATCGTAGCTGTCCAAACGTCACTTGCCTGTGTTTATAGAGTCCAAAAGCGGCCTTATGGTCGATTATTTTCCAACTTAAAACTTCTTTCCCACAGGGGAATCCTTTCGAGTCACTCACTGCTCTACAGCTAAATTCCTAAGTCCCACCACCCCTGACATTAATTAAAGGGATTCGCTATTACTCTTGTGTTCGAGTATGGAAACATCTGCATTGTCTTTGTATTCCTATAGTAAGAATTAAGTTCCATTCGGATAGCTTCTTTTATTTTTCCAATCATAACCACTTTGAAATCTTCAAGTCTAGGATTAGCCATAATCTTTCCTGTCTAACCCCATGAAGGCTTACTATCATATTATGTTGAAATACCGGTTCCGATAATTGAACGTTGAACTTGGTCAGTGCTTAAATAGGTGAGAGCTTTTGAATACCATGTGCTGTAAGCTTGGATGTACCTGTAGTGTATTGGATAACAGCTCAGAATGAGAACTGGGAGAACCGAGTTCGAATTCCATTCGGGTTTGATGCATTCACTTCCGTGATAATACTCTTTGGAAAGGTAAGAATCTACCGCTTCTCCTCCCAGCTATGGGTTAAATAGTTAAACTTGTATCAGAAAATTATGATTATCTCCAAATAATTCTTATAATCCCAAAATATACATCGGCTTTAAATAACCTTGAAATCATTGATAAGCAGTTAGAAAATAAATAACAAACCAAACAGTAGTCCCTAAACTTCATTTCTCATGTTTATACATCACCACAGACTAACCCTCTACCTTGAGCGACTCTTGAGACTTGTAATGGGTGAACATTTGTATTAAAATATATATAATTTAACCTTACTGATCATTATTATTTCTTTGAGATTCAGTTGTATGCACATTTCCTTCCTGGTTCCAGCAAGAGACCTACGCTTCGTGACATCTTCCACTAAAAATTATTTGTAAAAAAAAACAAAAAAACAATAAAAAATCTAAGATTACACACACTTTTTTCTCTTGCTTTTCCACCAAGTAGTAATAGTCTTAAGTTGTCTGAATTTCTTAGATGAAACCTTGCCAATTATTCATTTTTCACTAGTATTTCTTTCATATTATTTCTCTTGCATTTCCACCAAGTAGTAATAGTCTTAAGTTGTCTGAATTTCTTAGCTTCCACTAATAATTATTTGTAAGAAAAAAACAAAAAAACAATAAAATATCTAAGATTACATACATTTTTATATAAAGCTTTTCGTTATGTTTGAGCTGTAATTGTGATTCCAATTTTTTTTTGTATTTATTTAAGGCATGGACTGCCAGGAATCCCTGCAGTGAGTCTAGCAGAACATTTTTCTGTCAATCCGAGGGTTCCAACTCCAACTGGATTTACTGATATCTTCGTTTGCCACAGTTTTTAGATCTCCACTTCAAGAACCTAATATTTTGATAGGTTTTGATGATCTTCAAACATCACAATCTGCATGGACTGCCTTGTCAATAAGAAAACTCATTCTGTTTTGTGGTCCCGATGTTCTGTGCGATGAGCTTTTTTGTTCTGCCTGTATTGTAAATTCCTATAAAATTGGTTCAGGTTCTCTCTCTGTAACTGGACCAGGGTGATGTTCATGTTTATTATTATTATTATTATTATTAACAAAATATTGACACGCGTCAAAATTTTAATTTCCAATCAGTTTTTTTCGTAAAGACGTTTTGAAAATGATGTGGACACCCTGTCTAACAGAGACGCTGTTTTGTCTTAATGAGTAAAAGAAAGCGTACATCATACAAAACAGAAAGAAAAAAAAAATGAGAGAAAGAAAAATAAAACGTAAAAAGGTGAGATTGAGGAAACGTTAACACTTTGAGGCGTTTAACATTTACGTCCATGAAATGGAAACCTTAATTTTGAATCTTTTCTTTTGTAACCTCTGACTTTTTTAATGACTAGTATTCATGCTCATGATGTCTTTTGCAATATTATATTTACATTTTTCAGCACCTATATCTAACGAGGAATTAGAAGAATTTCCAAGGATAACTTCTTCAATTAAATTGAGCGTAATGATTTATCTGAAAATTGAAATAGAAAAACCGCGAAATTTTCACACATATTACAAGTCGTGATAATCTTTACTCTTCTATTACACACAAGACAACCATTATAATCGTTAAGACTGAAATTAGAATCAATATTATTCTAATTTATATTATAATTAATAATATCAATAACCTTGGCTCTTATCAGCACTGACATTTCCGCTAGTTTTGTTGGTATCGTTACTACTATTGATAATGGTGTGATCATCAAATTTCAATTTTCCGCTAGTTAACACCACAATCTTTTAGGTAGAAGTAACAGCTCGTTCCCAGTCAGGAACAAAGTGTGTTGGATAATGATTGCTCTATCTTTCCCATAAAAAAAGGCGCCATACTCAAATAGATTTTTTTTTCTCAAAATTATGATAATTTAATAAAGACACCATCGAAAGAGATATTGTCAACACTCAGTCCTTGTTTCGATTAATAATTGCGTGCGTGCGTTTACGTGTTTCTACATTGTGCATGTATGTGTGCGACAGAACAGGAGTTGTTTAAAAAATGTAAAAGTTGAGGAAAAAGATCAAATAAAAAGAAAGATAGAAAGAATAGATGAAAAAAGAGAGAGAGAAAAAAGGACACTGGTTTGTTTTGGACATTTTTTACTTTAACGGATGAGATTTTTTCTCGATTTGAAGGTTATTTAGTTATTGAATTATATCGATCAAAGCGTGATTAGCTCAATTAAATTATGGATTTTATAAGCACACGCATTTCTGTTTGGATTTCTCATTCGCGGTCTTATTACACATTGATTTTATTACTATTGATTTTATTGTGTTTTTATTACTAATATTATTTTTTAATCATTTCATACCAAGCAAAAAAGCTACTAAGACGCAAGGGTTTACTGACTGTGAGAGAATATGCGAAAAAGAAAAAAAATATCCTGTAAATAAAGAGAAGGAAACAGGGTTTTAGAACCGGAATAGATAGCCACGATGAGGAAGCAGGTAGCTAGCAGTAGTTATAAATATACCGAGAATTCGACAGAGGGAAAAACTCTTAAAATCTTTAAAAGATGAAATCAAAGATATGTGAGGAGTATACTTGGAATTGTTGATCCACTCTGAATTGTGGAAATTTGCTTTCAGACATTGTAGCTTAACAGTCGGGTTTGTGAGTTATTGTACAATCATGGCTGAATGGACCAAGGGGAAATTCCATTACAATTTATTTAAATATCCCATCTTGAAGAGTTTTCTTTCAGATAAGCAATATGGCTATTCGCTACTTTCTGTCAACTGATAACGGTTATTGGTTAGGCAATATAAGCTTTGATAGCTTTAGATAAGAATGGTCAAGCTCAGAGTTTAACATATAGGTCTTCTTCACAAGTTGAAAGATTATGGTATTTTCGGAGGAATCATTGAACTGATTCAGTCTTTATTATCGAATCGCGAAATGAAAGTTGTCTTGAACGACCACTCTTCTAGATCTTTTTGCATTAATGCATGCGTCCCCCAGGGTCTATCCTTGGACCTACATTGGTCCTAATTTTCATCACCGATCTTTCTGGTGGAAACAGTTTTCAACTCGGTAACTATGTTGACAAAAATATTGATTCTAGTCTTAATGGTAAGTCTGATCGGTTCGATAACAGAACATTGACAGCTCATCTAAAGAAAATGATATACATTCTGTTATTAACTGGTCAAGGAATGACTTGTTAATTTTAATGCCTCCAAAATGAAACCGTTAAAATCGTATGAGATAGCCGTTCTTATCTTCAAACAACGTGGCTGATGCTATCCTCTAACGAAGTGACTCATTGCAGTTTCTCGGACTATGTTTACTATCAATGGAATAATTTGATGTGCCCTAGAAATTTCGACTGTTTCTTTCACATGTTAGGTATAATTTTCATCTTTAGTCCCATTTTTTGTAAAACTTCGCCGTTTCTAGCATCTTCAATCTATGGTGTTCTCATCAGCCTTCTGTAAAACCATAGTTCTGATGCTTCAAGAATCTTTCTCCATCTTTGAGATTGTACAGTTCCATATAGCTGAAACGAAATCAAGGATCTCCAAATATACTTGTCTCCAAACATGGTGATCGGATCTTCGCCTATAATTAAATGTTCAGATTTCATAAATTAGTAAAATATCTTAGTACAGAACTTGCCCGGGCGTAGAATTTGTATTAATAATTCGAAAGTATCACGGGCAGTAATATCAACAGTATGGGATTTAATTATACCTCATCCAGTGTATAACGATACTCTACCTACAGGCCTCGGAAGATTGGAGATTTTGAGGAGCTTGGAACCACCTCTTAATTGCCGTTGTTTCCATGTCTACCCTGATCCGGTGTGGTAGACACCGTTAGGGCTAAAGCTATGAGAAATCAGTGAAACCCCAAACAAAAATCAAAACACTGGGTAAGTATAAAAACATTTTTTTTATGATAAAAATACCAGCAATTGATTTTATAGTAAAATTCCAGCATTACATTTTTATCAAAATAATTGTCAACAATTTTGGAGTGAAATTACCAGCAATACATATTCACTAAAAAGAAATTACCAACAATAGATTTATAATAAAACAAGCAACAATAATTTTTTTATATTAAAATGACCAGCAATATATTTTATAGTAAAACGGATATATATATATATATATATAAATAAACAGCAAATTCTGTCTGTACGACCGTTTGTCTGAGACCCCCCTCTAACTCAGGCCACACTTGCTCTACATAGACATACACCTATTGGGAATCAGGATGATCCCGGAATCGAAGATAGGCGCTTTATCTAGTTCTTGAACTTCCAGCAATGCGACCAGTGCCCGGATGGGGAAGGGTCGGTGAAAAATTTAAATTTTAAAATAAATAAAATTTTTTTGATTTTAAAAGTTCTTAATTCATATTCAGTATTAAACAACACGTAAATTTTGTGATTTTTTTTAAAAAATTCCCTTTAAAATATTTCCAAAACTTTGTGAATTCAGTTAAAGTGACGTGAGGTTTTTGAAGTTCCGCACAGTTTGTGATTTGAAGAACTCAATTTACAACGTGTATAGGAATTGGGCTTATAGCCCGAATCTGAGTTAAAGTGAGGTATTCAACTTCCAAAAAGTTAAATGAAGAATTCAAAGTTAATTCTTCAAAATTATCTAAGCTTCACAAGCTTTATTTTTAGGTTGGAGGACCGATTAGCCCTAACCAAGAGCTAGCTTAAAACACCTCACGGAGTGTTGCTTTTAAACTAGTTTTATAATAAAACTGAAGACGTGGCATATACTGTTAAAAGTAAATTGTTATGATTTATCTAATTTCTTGTAAGGAGAAACACGTTCTCAATCCTCGTTTGACTTTGGAATATTATTTGCTTAAATTATTTTATTTAAAGTCAAACGATTGCAAATCAGTCAGTTGTCAGCCGGCACAAGAGACATTATTACGTCCCGAATTAGAAGACAACACAACTGGCAATAAAAAAATGCAGCTAAGTCATTATAAATTAATCCTGAAACAATTTCCTTCTCTTGAATGAACTGTAAAGTCTGAATTTTCATATTTACATTTCGACATTAAATAACATATACGGGTTTATATGCCGCTAAAAATCAATTAAGCTTTTATAAGCGAAATATGTAAACAGCAAAAATAACATTATTTTTAGACAATTTTTAACATAAGGTATTGATTTACTTTTGTCTGTATAGAAGAATCTGTTCATGAGTAGATGCCCCACTTTTTTCTTCTCTCGTTTTAACCGACATCATTCCGTTTACATCAATATATATATATGTGTTTTTAACGGTATCAAATGAGCTGTTACTTGGACGAACAAGTCACTCGCACATCCCAATCTATTCAGCAGGCAAAGAACCTGCGAAAAATGCCAGCACGTTTCAAAAGACATTTATAATTGATTTCAGATTAAGAACATTTAAACAGTGATAAGTATGAAATAACGATTATTTTCAATTTAATATCATCCATTGATCGTAGCCAAATGTTTGCAGTCGACGTCGGTGGAAGTATTCTAATTGGGTTAGAAATTATTAGGAGGTCAGCAGAAGAAAAAGAATTGCGACATAATCTTGCATTGTTAATTGCAACGGTTAGAAATTAAAGCCTAATGTGTGGCCTATGATTAAAAAATTACCCTGTGGATAACGGAAAGTTTGTCTGCTACCTGAACAATTACACATGTGCTACATTCAATACTAGCGTTGTATTAAATTTTTTCAGCTTTAAACGTATGCAAAGCAATCACGTGTCTTTTAATTCGTTACTCAGAAGAAGGAAAGTGATAGTGAAAACGAAAGTAGAAATTTTGCAAATGTAATATGATCACACATCGAACAGAAAATTGATAGGTCTTTTGAGTGCAGTCAATTGTGGCGCTAAATGTTATTTAAGTTTTGCGCCTAAAACTAAATTTATTCGTTTACGTTATTAGATTATTCATTATAATTAAATTTACATATAGACGCTCTAATGAAAAAAAGAACAACGATAGAAAGACAGAAAAGAGAGACACTTGATAAAGATAAATGACTTTGTAAAAATACTTCGAGTTGGATAGGAACATTTTGGAATATGCTTATATAAAAATTGACAGGCAAATATGAATAGATAGATAGATAGATAGATAGATAGATAGATAGATAGATATTAAAGAAAATGAGATAGATATGAACAGAGTGAGATAGAAAGAAAGACCGATACGTTTGAACATAGATAGATAAATAGATAGATATGAAAGAAATGAGATAGATAGATATGAACAGTGAGATAGAAAGAAAGATCGATACATTTGAACTTAGATAGATAGATAGATAGATAGATAGATAGATATGAAAGAAATGAGATAGATAGATAGATATGAACAGAGTGAGATAGAAAGAAAGACCGATACATTTGAAGTTAGATAATTTGATAGTTAGATAGATAGATAGATAGATAGATATGAAAAAAATGAGATAGATAGATAGATAGATATATATGAACAGAGTGAGATAGAAAGAAAGATCGATACATTTGAACTTATATATATATATATATATATATATATATATATATAGATAGATAGATAGATAGATAGATAGATAGATAGATAGATATGAAAGAAATGAGATAGATAAATATGAACAGAGTGAGATAAAAAGAAATATCGATACATTTGAACTTAGATAGATAGATAGATAGATAGATAGATAGATAGATAGATATGAAAGAAATGAGATAAATAGATATATATGAAAGAAATGAGATAGATAGATAGATAGATAGATAGATAGATAGATAGATAGATATGAACAGAGTGAGATAGAAAGAAAGATCGATACATTTGAACTTAGATAGATAGATAGATAGATAGATAGATAGATATGAATTTATATAGACAGAAAGATCGATAGATTTCACCTTATATAGTTAGATAGATATTAATTTATATAGATAGAAAGAAAGATCGATACATTTGAATTTATATAGACTCATAGACAGATAGATGTAGATTGATAGTTATGAACATAGACATATAGATTGATAGATATCAACTTAGATATGAATTTATATAGATAGATTGATAGGTAGATATGAAACTATATAGACAGATATATAGAACATAAAAGATACATATGAACTTATATAGTTAAAGAGATAGATATGAACTTAGATAGACAGGCAGGCAGTCAGACATGGTCAAAGATATATAGATATATAAGAACAGACTGATAGATGCATAGATTTATATACAGAAAATGTGCGCAGATAAGAAAGTAAGAACCTACACCTGAATATATGCTCATACATACTGTCATGTCTTCATATTCCTTTTGTATATCTACGTTTTCAGACTCATGCATATAAGCGCCAGCATTCATATAAAATTGCAACTTGAAACTAAGATAATAAGAGGCCTTTAGCCGGAACTCGATGCATACGCGCTTCACGTATATATCAAATTCAGTATACGTATACATATATAAGTGTGGGTACTTATTCGTATAAAATTGAAATAGGCACTGGTATAGGCACCTAAAATGTCTGACATCCGAAGTTCTTACAGCTAATGGTGCATAAAACAAGTGAAGCGTAAAGAAGCGACTTTACCAATTCCTCAGCAATTTACAAATTATTTTGTACGAAACTACAGAGTGCAAATAATCTATTTATAATCATGTACACATGCAAATGCACACGTATAAATGTCTAAATAACTAAGTGCAGACCATGATAAAATTTAACATTGGACAAAACACTAATGCACACACACACATATCTTCGTTCAAAACAAACAGAAACGAAAAAAAAAAAAATAAATAAAAGCAAAATGAAAGACAAAAGGGGAGACAATTACATCCTGTATATAATGAAAGCGGCCAGTAATACAATAAAAAGCAAGAGAATGCACAACATTTTCTATCAAACAGCGTCAGTAAAAAAATAAAAATACACGAGAAATGTTATCATTGATTTTTTTTTATCGAAATTGTGAAAACAACGCAGCCAAACTGGTTGTGTATAGAGGCAGGAGAAGGAAACAGAATCCTCAGAGGAAGCAGCGGACAAAAGAAGAAGAGAATGGTAACATAATTGCGTTCTACATTAAGTCAATGAGAGAAGCGTTAAGAACCACACACACACACACACACACACACACACATATATATATATATATATATATATATATATATATATATATATATATATGTATGTCTAAACAGCATCATATATACCCAATCTAAACAACGTAAAAATAAAACACATCCAAAACTATCATGCGACATAGAACTAATAACAACCATTATTTCGAGTTTTAATGAAAATCTACCAACAAGAATGACCATCCAATTTTTTCCCCACCACTCTAACAGGATCAACTCTGGATTAATTATGTTTATTAGATAACTAACGAGGCACGGTGGAGTAATGGATAGCGGCTCGGATTGAGGAATCGGAGAGCCGAATACGAATTCCAGTCGAATTTATTATTTACGGGCTATGGGTATTAGCTTATGAGTAAATAGCAAGACAGACCGGGTTTTATAGCCTTGGATAGCAACTGGTCAACCGTAGAAATAAATGGCAACTTACTGTGGGAAAAAAAAAAACTGCTTTGTCTGTCATGTATCGAAAGATACATGATCGCCTAAGCGTGTATCACACTTGGCACATAACTGACTGACTGAAGAATCTGCAGGCCCCAACACTTATCCAAAGAAGAAATATACATAAAAAAAAACCTTTTAAAAACCTCCAATATGCATATTATTTCATTCACAATACTAAAGGCATACAGAACGTACAAACACAAAAAAACTAACATTAACAAGAATAAAAACTGACTACATAAAACAGACATATTATACTACCTACGAATTACTTATCATCTGCTATTCAATAAAATTAACTCAATCTTACCAATATCAAAATAATTACATCCACATCCTAAACTATCTCTATCTATAAATGGCAGGATGTGTGTGTGTGTGTGTGTGTGTGTGTGCGTAACGAATGCACGGTCGCAATTTTCGGCGGATTTGCACCAAAATGTACATGCACATGCTCCAAGTTAGTGGGAAGGCCAAGACCGACATTGCATTTCCCAACTCCCATCGATAGTGGAAATAATCGATTTTTTTTCATGCTTCTACGGCACTTTTCATGTAGTTTGCGACCATTTTCTACTGGACAGAGTGAGAGCCTATAGCTGGGTGCCACGAATAGGTAGGAAGATTCTATTGGCCAGCGTGAGAGCCAACAGCTGACTGACACGAATGTTAACTAGCATGCTAGCATGCAAAAAAAAAATCGATAGCTGCATTCGTCACAAGTGGGAAAAATTTTAATCTGCATGGTACTTTACTCCAATTGGCTTATTCGTTTGCTTAAACTCAACGCTGATTCTGATTTCGCAGAATTGGGTTGGTTGTGAAAAAGTAGTTGTTGTTAACATTCTTTTTTCATTCGGTTTTTCCAGTTACGAGTCCTTTTTTAAAGCTGATCGTTTTGTGTTCATTTTGTTTAGTTCATTTTTGTAACAGATTTAATGTTTAGTATAAAGCTTAGAAAAAATTTGCAGTGTGAGATAGGCAAGAAGTAAGGCATGTAGCAACATCAGCACAGCAAAGGGCAGTCCTTTAAAGGCAAGGAAGGGCAAAAATATTTTAAGTCAAGTGATAGCGATTCCTGTATGAGTCGTATGATTTCTGAATCAAGCACGGGCAAAGCTGGGCCATGCTCCTAGACATATACATATGTTTAGAACAAATTCCATTTAAAATAATAATTTTAAACCAATCCTATATAAAATAATTCGACAGAACTGCTCCTCACAATACATTGTTGAAACTTGCAGAAATTTAAAAAAAACATTATCTATAAACGCAAAAGGGGTCTTATACAAAACACTTTATCAAATACATTAATTATACATAGAAATAAATTCAATCGCAAATTTTGATCTAAAAATGCTACACTTATTAAAAGAGAAAGAAAGTTACTTTAACAGAAAATTCTCGAGAGTACCGCTATCCTTTTCTAAATCTGCACTCTGTGCTTTTCAAATATTTCAATTCCTGAAAGAATTACTACTTCACTAAACCAACTTAAAATTTTAAAAATTAAAGAAAAACGGGTAAATTCATAACTTTATATTATTTGAAATATATAACATAAATTAATCACAAGCGAAAATAATTTAAATACTAATTTGCAATGAAAATAAACACCAAGAAAATAATTTAATCGGTTTCGATTATTAGACATTGAACTGTGTCACTTAGAGTCCTCCATAGCTTGCATAGATTTTCCGGCTAACTTGATGAATATTCATGAGCGTTCATAAACTAAAAGCTTTCGAAAATCCATTATCATTTTTACATTTGTATATTTATGCGCCCTAGCATTAGAGCAAGCAGTACACCTAGCAATACATTCAATATAATCGTTAATAAATCCATGATTTTTATGACTTTAGATGTATTAAAATGTACGTCTTTTGTCTTGGGGAACGAAGGCGGTTTACTGTAAATATTCATATCAGCAATACCGATTTGCTTTTCAGGTGCCTGACTTAACCAGTTGGTGTAATGTTTAACAAGCATGTCTTGCTAGACCAATTACGACTGAGTTTGATCCTCACTTGATACCAATACTTTCGGCCTTTTGCCACATCTATGCTACGCTTAGAAAATCACTAAAGCCTCAGAGGGCCTCCCGACCAGGCGGTGTTTATTGCTCAGCGTCTGAGGCGTCCGCCAAAAGGGGAATTACTGAGGGGGACTTGGACAATTTTCCCATCGTATTGCAGTAAAAACACGATTTTGTGACAGATCGGTAGAAACGTGGGTGTGCTAAAAATAACATTTAGTATGTCCGTTTGGGTATGAACGCAAGGAGTTGATATCCTGTAATTTCGCTCCTGCGCGAGATGAGTGGACGAGCATCATGGCCATGTAAATATATATCTGTGTTTGAGTTCATCATCATTAATGCTGAGGTTTATATGGTTGTTATGGATAATCAAGAGTGGTTTCCCCTTGTTTTGTTAAATTTCTCTGTTTACTGGGACTATAAAAGGACACTATAGGCCAGCCTTTTATTCTCAGTGGAATAAAGCTTTCTTAAAGCCAACACTTTGTAATTACATTGGTATTGTGCTTCATTATATTCGGCTTCGGTCAAGGTGTTTTTTTTTAATATCGCATCATGTCATTAAATTTCATTATTTAAATGTCGGATTATATTTTTAGCTGTTGCTATTTGTCGTAAAACAAGGATTTAAAAAATATTGTAATGCTGATTTCCTTGTTGGGTTCTGTGTCACGTAATTTAATAATTGCGTATTTCAGTAGTACCTTGTCTGTTGTTTTTAATGAAACCTGTATAAATGTAGGTTTGCTGCCCAAATGCAAAATTATTAAAAAATATGACCCGGTATCCAAGATGGGAATGTAACACTACAACATTCAGAAAAAAAAGACTTGTTTTACAACAGTTAAATATGAAATCCAACCTTTAAATAACGAAATTTAAGAACATAATGCGATAATAATAAACACCTTGACCAAATCTAATGAAACAGAATACCATATAAACCTATGTATTAACGATGACGAACTTTTCAACTGAATATATATATATATATATATATATATATATATATATATATATATATATATATATATATGTGGGTGTGTGTGTGTGTGTGTATACATTTGTGTGTATGCATATGGTACGTATTTGTATAAAACGTAGAATATTTGTTCGTCGACCGAGTTGAAATTCAATAGAGACTAATTGGTTTATTTTATTCATCTCAGTTATTGATCATTCAATTTACAAAATACCTTCAATGAAGAAGAAAAATAAAATAAAGCTGTTTTTATTTTGCAGCGAGACCAAGTAAAAAAAAGAAACAAGGAGTGAGGAATGGAGAAATGGAAAATATGCAAAAAATAAAAAGGCCAGCAATACACTGACGTACGTCTAGTGAAATATAAATTTTCTGCTGATATGTCACATTTGCTGCACGAAATTCATAAAAAAAAAAATAAGGGTAATGTATTATATTTTCCTTTAAATTTATTTTTGCTTTCTTTTAAAGAATACGTTATAAAAAAAGAAGCCTTTCTTATTTTCCTGACGAGAGTGCCCATCCTAACCCACATAACCATCGTTCAAAAACTTTTCCCTTCGACTTTTAACCTTTCTAGAATCAGCAAAAAACCAAGGATGTTTTCATTTGAAAAGTTCAAGTCATTTCTTAGACATCGACATATGGAAATATTTGATAAGCAGGACATTTTCTAAAACGATAAAAAAAAGCTGTCAGTTCAAACAAACTTACCAACAATATGATTTAATCAAGGAAATATCTTGTCAGGAGCGATAACATTTTTTTTATTATTTTAAACATAGTAACACTTTCTGAAAAA